GAGTTCCTTCTTAATACAAGTATCCAAGCAAAGATTTGTGGCCACCACTCTCACCTTGTAAGAGCATGCCCTGCCTGACAGTAGGTTTTAAAACACCAGAATAAATAAGTAATTCTACAGATCTATGCACAATGGTTAGTTTTAATGGCAAAAAAATCCCAATCAAGTGCTTTTATGAGTCCCAGTTAAAAGTAATTATACAGTATAAGTGCTTTAAGTAAGTTAATGAGACAGACAAATCTGATAACGAATTCCTGTCTCATCATAAGCCTCCTTTCGTGTTAATTCCATCTCAGCATTGCAGGGCACTGTTCTGCATTGCTTTGCTCTCCACTGAGTCCAACTCTCTCCCTGTTCACATTGGTCTCACTCCATTTAGTGCAGGGGCTGTGGAATTCAGCTGTTTGCATTAGTAGGTATATGGTAAACAAACTTGGTGTTTCCAAAAAATGACAATGGCATTAGGAAGCAAACAGCATTAATTGGAATAAATTTTGCTGTTTCCTTCTAATTTCATTGTGTTATTTATCTTAATGCTAGGGTGTTTGTCTAAATGTGGAATACTGTCTGTGTGTTTATTAGGAAGCTGAGAAACCAGTTTTATAATTATTTGCATGTCTTCAATAGCGTTTTCAAGTATGCACATAGCAGAATACTGATTAGCTCTCTCGTACGTAATAAGTGTTTTGGTTGGAATTGGTTGTCTGCAGGAAATATTGGAGAGAAAATAAAGGTAGGGTGGGCTTTTTCAGCCTCTGATCTTCGATTAATGTAGGAATCTTTGGGGTACCATTTCCTCCTTGGGCTTCTCATCATCCAGTGCAGTGAAGCAGTGGGGTCATTGCTGGTGGAACCTCCTTTGCCTGAAAGGAGAATGTCAGAAGAGGGCAACAAATCAAGGAAATAGCATCTCTTCTTTATGGCCTTGTGAGCTTTAGGCGGCTGTCGTGTCTCACAGTTAATGGAAAAGTTTCAGGTAAGGTAAGCCAAATGATCTGACAGTATTTTTGGGCTTTATTTTCCCAGCCAGTCTCCTTTTAAACTTGGTACGAAACCAAAACTTGCTGTACACCGCTTGGAAATGAATTTGTTGAGATCAATGAGTAATTTGATCAGTGCATCTAATTGCCTTTTGCTTTGGTCTCACCGCCTTGATAAGGACAAGAACCTTATAAAGAATTATATTTGGTACTAGACTGCATTAATACTATTAATGGATTCTATTTTTTATATATTCCTTCAACTGCATCAATGGGTGATGTAGAGACTGCTTACATGACAAAAAAGTGATATGCGAAAACATTTAAAAAATTTATATCTATCAACTAATACTGAGATTGATAGCAGAGATGTTAGTAAATTGTAAATTTTATTCAGTTAAATCTGCTTCTTGATACTGTCTTTATAATAACTAGCAAACGTAACAGAAATTAAGGAATCATTTTTAATTGTCTCCATGGGTATTGCAGTTAATGGGCTATAGAGAAGTGTGCTCTTAAGTTATGGCTGGTTTTTCCCTTGATTTTTTTTTTGGTAATAACATATTTTTATGCAAATTCTTGCATATAAATACAGCTACTATATAGAGCAGTTTTGCCAAATCAAGAAAATTAGCCAGAGTTTTTTAACAATGTTCAAAAAAAAATTTGCCTTTTTTTGGTGTGTTTGTTATTGGGACAGAAAAGTGCTTTAGATATTTTTTGTTCCAGTTACATTGGAACATCTGTCAGCTTTAACATGGTATAATCCAGAGCAGTCTAATCCTCTCTGGGATGACTATATCAGTAAATTATCCTGAAGAAGGGGTTTATTTCTGTAATACGTTTTACTTTGCGGTGACTGCATGCCTGACCCTTTTAAGTCTACAGTAAATGCAGAAGAGCTTACTGCCATAAAAGGAGCTCACATTTATTGTAAAGTGAGAATATTCACACTGGCAGTCACCATGGAGTAGATGATGTATTGTAATTTCACATTCTTACTTTTTTTTTTTCTAGTTGACCTTTCTGCAGACAGTAGAAGTGTAAGCCTGAAGTGCAGTCCATAAAAATATCCACTAGGTTGAGGAATCCAGTCAACTCTCCAAAGTTATCTATGTAAAGTGTTTAATGCTTCTGCAGCTCTCCTTCTTTTTCTCTCATGTAATGAGAGCAGAAAGTCCAGTCGAGTTAGTAACCCCTCTGTGGATGAAACCTGCTCTTAATCCAATTTATCAGAAGTTTGCAGTAGCATTTGCCTCGGCTAAAGGCTTTGGAGGATGGAGAAGATGGTTTTAGAGAAATAATGCCAGCTGATAGATGCAATCACTTATTAGAGATCTTTCGTATAAATTATGAAAAATAGCTACAGTGAATTATAGCTGTAGGCTTTCAGATAATAAGCCTTTCAGGAAAAAAATAATGACACTAAGTGACACTCAGTTCTGAGTTTCATTACCAAGCTGAATCATAATTCAAAATTCTTTTAAAACTTCCAGGATGGTTGGCAAATCTTGATGAAATTCAGACCAAGCTTGATCATATTTAACCCTTTTAGGTGAGTTTTTTGGCTGTTACTTTACTCCAGGAATATTCCTCTCCAACAAGTTTTTAGGTCATTTCTGTCTTCAATCCATTGCCCAGTACTGTGCGGGTCCAGGGAGTGTGAATTTTTTACTGTCAGTTTTTGGGCAGTTATCCCTAACCAAAATCTGTAGAGCCTCCTCTTTCAAAGTAGTATTCCTTGCAAAATCAATAGAAATAGCCTAGCAGGCAGAGAACCAGCAGCCTGTATTCTGTTTCCGTTCTCCGTTCATCCTTGAAATCAGATTTTGCTAACCAGGAATGGCAATTTATCCACAATCTTGATACAGTCCGGGGAATACCGTGGCCGTGGGGAATCTCCTGAACACCCTCCATTATGGGTTTTATTAAGCGGGTTTTGGTGCATACACGTGCAATACCATAAGTTGGAGTCTGGGAATGATGTTTGGAGAGATGAGACTTATCAACTTGATTTTAATCTGGTGGTAAAAGATATTGAATAATCTCTCCAAACATCTTTCCAAGACACAATGCAAAAATAGGTAGTTTCTTTATGTTACCAGTGAAGTTACATAACTGTATTCAAGGTATTATGCCACGTTAGTAAGTCTTGCAAAACTTTGCTTGAGGCTTTATCAACAACATGGTGTGAGATCTTTATGTAAAGAAAAATTATTATTCAATTGACATTCAATTCACTTCTTGTCTTAGAATCCATCATACTCACTCTTATCCTTCTCGGGTGTCATATGTAATATTTCAGAGTTCTGATAATTCTCCCCAATCCAGACTTTTCTTTTTTGTGTTTGAAAAAAAAAACAAATTGGGAGGCATCCCTTTTGTAGACTATGAGAATTAATCCTAAAGTGTTTCAAGGGAGTATATCTCTATATTCTGCCACTAGTGTTTTCCTAAACATAGGCATCTCGGTAATAATTGAAGTGGTTCAAAACCAGCAGTTTCTTAATAGTCGATACTAAGATCTAAGTGTAGAGTTTCCAGGCTAGGTGTCCATACAGCATGCATGTATTTCCAAGTGTAAAATACTGCTATTTCTTGAAATAAAGTGCCAACTCACTTCGGTTTTAAACAAAGCAGATTTTATGAAACATCATTTTAGAAATGTGTTAGAAATGCGTGAATTCCTCCTGTGTCAGCCAATATTCAGACCACCACTCTGAAGTGACTTTTGCAATTCTTTTAATGGACAGAATTTTGAAGAGGGAATACCTCACTTTGACTATGAATCAATCATATTTGCTAGCAGTCCAATCATGCTGATTTAAATTTAAAGTACTATTTTAAATAAGTACTTTGGGCATATAATTCTAATTGTATTACCATTATTCCTCTCTTTTTTAAATAAATATAATTGATAGGGAAATACTATAACGTGATAAAAATAGATTTTCCATTTTTAACTCCCCAAAATATATTGGAAGTATTCAAGTCCTAAGCTGTGAAAACTGCTAGCAAATAGAAACTTTTTACCCACAATTGACTCAGTTTTGGGTGTTCTGACTCTGAGTTCAGCTTTTGTTTTTATCTAACTGAACAAGAAAGAAGACATAAACAAGGGGAATTTAGGGTCAGTTCCAAAGAGCTCACAGTGATAAAATTTTGCAAAACAAATAAAAAGAGTGTATTTTCTTAAACAATATTCACCACATTTGGGATTTTAGGGGATGAGCCTATCCCAGACAGACTTGTCAAAAGCAAGAGTCATTGCACTGAAGTTATACATGTTTAGTGTTTAACTGGTATTAAACTAATTTGAGATGACAGGCCATTTCCATGCTCTTTCAGAACAGGCCATGTTATCATCAATGTATTTAGGAAATTCATACATATTACTTGTATATAATGTACTCATAAATGATAAGCAAAGTTGTTTGTAATGGTAAACGGAGATGTCTGTCTGTCCTTCTAATATTGGATTACAAATAACTAAACTATGGAAGTTACTCTTTACATCTCAGCTATGAAAGTGTTCCTCTTGTTGTCATGTGTACACGCTTTCAAGAAGGACCCGTTAGGGTTTCTTTAATTTTGTTTTCATTTTAGTAGGCATACTTTCTTGTAAAAGCCTGATAACTAAATTATTGCAGTTTGTAACTTCATACTTATTCTGCTCGTGTATATTACTTAGTAGATCTTTGCTAGCCTTGGATCAAAATTAACTCGAAAATATCCTTCAGTGTGATAAATATTTGTATTTAGACAGAACCTGGGGAAATCTTTCTAGACTCTGACAGAGCCCCTAAGGGGAGCTGGCAACTGTATAGCAAATGGAAGTGTGCAAATTTCCAGCCTCGCAGCAGATACAGTAAATATGTGCAGTGTAACACAGCAAATAATGTGAAGGCTTTTAGTTACGGAGGTGTGTAAATGTTTACAAATATGATTAACTGCAGAGCACAAAATCCATTCGCTGCACCAAAGGCAAAACTAAAATTATTTTTTCCCGCCCCCCTCCAGGATTACGCTGAAAAGAAAAACACGATAGCAAAAGCTCTGGAAGATCTTAAAGCCAACTTCTACTGTGAACTCTGTGACAAGCAGTACTATAAACACCAGGAGTTTGACAATCACATTAACTCTTACGATCATGCTCACAAACAGGTAAGAGGAATCTGCTCACTACTTCAATTTAGTTTCTGGCGGGATAATGAAATAGGATGTCCTTCAGGCAGGCTTGGAAATCAGTGTTGAGTTGTGCCCAAATTCAGGTTCTGGGAAGCAAGATACACTGTTTTCTTAGAAACAAATCTTAACGTGAAGACTTTACAGTCAAAAATTCTGAGATGGAAAGAAAGGGAAATGTGAACAGTTAAATTGTGAAGAGGAACAGGGAATGATGAAAAATATGATTAAAAATGTAAATGTACAATTTCCTTGTTATCAGTTTAATTTTGAACAGAAATAAATACTGTAGTATTCCTAAGAGATCTAGGAAGCATTTGTTGCAACAGATGCAAATAGGAAACTTGACATACTTTGGTAAACTTTCTTTTAGTGCAGATATAGTTCTGAAATGGGCTATGATTTTACTTAAATGCCTTGAATATAAAAAAACTGTGGTAATGAAAAGTTTCTGGCTCAGCTCACAATAAGATATGTTTTAGCTTTAAAACATTGGTATTTACATTTTTGCCACCACATTTTATCCCCGTGTCTCCAAGTTGTGTGTCCTACTTTGGTATCAAAAGCAGTGATTGTACAGAATGAGAGACAGTGCATCCCAGTGCTATGGCCTGGTCTTTGGAGCAATCAGGACTATGTAATTCAGAGGAAAACACAATGCATCTTGACTCCACTGAAGAGATATGTAATGATAATGTAAAGATATGTTATAACTGTACAGGAAATTTCTACTTAGTCCACTTAGCTGGTAATTATTGTGTCTCTCTTTTTTTTTTAATCTGGTGAAATCATATGGTTGTGGATCTGGATTGATTGCTTTTCATTCTAATTCAATTTCTACTTGTCCTGTAATTCTGCTCAGGGTGAACATGCTACACATGTTTTATATCTTTATTATGTAAGCCAGTGATTTGTTTTTCTTTCCTTCAGCGCTTTTCCCTGAAACAACTTTCCTCTCTCTCTCACTGATATTTTTATTTAGCCCGTAATTTACACTGTCAGCGTTAAGTGTTAGATTTAGTTTTGAGAACTACAGAGATGTGGACCTCAGCAGCAATAGTAATCTATGAGAAGCTGGAGGGAAAGATATATTCGATAAGATATTAGTAGGTAGCTTCATATCATCCTCTAGGTAGTTACTGAGTTGCAACCATTTTTGTTAAAATATGGCTGGAACTGATTCTTCAGGTGTTACTTTCACACAGCAGCACCTGGTTGATGGAAAGCAGGAAAAAAAAAGTGATGCGCAGAGTCTTCCCCACTTGATCTTTCTTAGGATTTTTATTTATTAATTTTTAAGCGCTCTGAATCACTTTTAAATAATGAGAAGCTGAAGACTGCAGTGTTTGTTCCTCAATTCTGTATTGATAAGAAATTGATTTTGAAACTGAGGTCGGGTGTGAGACTGAACAGGGACTTGTGTCCGGAGGTTCGCATAGCTGTTCTTGTTTCCTGATGGCTTCAGACGGGAGACAGCGGGCACTGCATTAGGATCTGACGGAGCATGGTAGATCCTACCTCTCTATCTTTTGTGTAGGGAGCCAGTGTGACAGTGTTCGCATGTGGCTTTGTGGATGTATTTGTTGAAACACAGAAAGCCATCCTCTTCCTCTGTGAGACGTCCTCAACTAATCTCCTTTGTAGGACATTAGACAAAAGCTTCTAGTTTTCCATAGAAAAAAATGTATGGATGCTTCTTTGGCTGAAGTAATAATTTTCTGTAATATTACTGAGAAATAAGACTATTTTTTCCTGAGATTAAAACCTTAAGTCAAGTTTAACTCTTCTGGAGTGTTTTTTGTGGTGGTTTATACTGGTGTTATGAAGAAAAACCACTTCTCTTCCCATATTTTGGGTGAAGAAGGGCGCAGGCAGCGTATGCTGCGGTGTAGTCTCACTCAGATTTGCTTAGTCTTCAAGGAACTTCATACCCCATGCTTTTGTTGAATAACCTAATTTTTACCCTAATTTTTACCCCCCTAATAGGGCTAGAGCTATATTCAGGTGCTACTATTTAATGCTCTGCTTGTGTCTTGAAAATTCCTACCTATTTAATGCTCTGCTTGTGTCTTGAAAATCTCTCAATGGCAGAGATTTTCCAGCAGTTCAGTAGGAGTGAGAAGAACAGATAATCTGGTTTTGGATTTTGCTTTGTATTTTTCTCTAACTTTCTCCCTTTGATTACACCTTTCTACTGTTGATAGTCAGGTAAGGGGAAGCACTTACTTGAAAAAGTTTCCATGATACAAGAGTAGTGGTAAGCATATGCAGCCAGTTCAGTTTCAGCAATCCCAGCACATGACTGTGGTTTCTATATGATCAAATGGATGAAGACTCTGCCTAAACCAGAGTTCATCCCCGATGTTCTGAAAAGCTGTCTTTAATCCTAATTGAGCACTCTGTTACCACACCATCTAAGCCATGGGATGGTTTATCAGAGAAAATGTTTGTAACAGCACCTGGACCTCATTTTTATTGTAGAATATTTTCTTTTTCGTTCCATTGATTCAGAAGTTGCTAGCACAGAAAACTTGCAGGATTTAAAATAGATTTTATAATTATGTGGTTTTCCTCCATTGGATGGGAGCCCTGTACTGTCAGGGATTGGATGTGGTTTGGTTTATTGTGTTTTACAGCTTCTTAATACCCACTTTGAGATTGGTCCAGAAAGAAAACATAGGAATAGGGCAAAAGTAATTTTATTTCCTAGGACCTGAAGGAGTTCAGACCAGTGTCTCAAGATCTTTACTGCTTCTGTTAGTGTTTTCTTGTTTTTAGCTTTGACAGTATATGGTTTGTAGAGCAATATCTGTAGCCTTTATGAAATACTGGAAAAGCAGCTTCCAAGCTTCAGTAGTAATGGAGAAAAATTAACTCCTTTGCTCTTTTGTTTGCTTTGGAAGCCTAGACAGAAAAAAAACTGTTTGCTTTGGAAGCCTAGACAGAAAAAAACCCCAAAACCAAAACAACAACAACAACAAAATTATAATGTAGGTGTCTTTAAAAACAAAATTGTTCTGGACTCAATAGAAAGAGAAATATAACTAAGGCAGAGCCACTAGTATTTCATACCGTAATGGGAGCATTTCTGTTTGATAATGGTAATCTAAAATCATAGAATGCAGCTTTTAAGGCCCATACCAGGACTTTAAAAATATTTGTATGGTTTTCTGCAGCATTTCGTAAGTATTTGGAAGGGCGTGAGGGGTTCTCTGCAGTGCTACATTCATGAAGGATGAAAAAGCTCCTGTCTGTGTTCCTTGAAACTCTGCCGTTTTGATAAATGTGGCTGAGCATTAAGTCTAAGGCTCTGAATGACCTTTGTCTCGTAGCTGTTCAGAGTCGGTGAGTTGTTTTGCCTTGTTGGTGAAGAAGGCTATATCACACAGCTAGGTCCCCTACATCAGTCATTCCTCAGGAGACTGTGGTTGCTACAAGAAAGAAGAGGTTTTATTCCTGTATTTGAAAGTCTTCCTCTCCATCCCAGAACTTCTGATTAATCGCCTAATATCACAGCAGCGCACCCGGGCTTGGTGCTTTTTTCTCTCCCAGGAGTGCTCTTCCAAATATCAAACAACAACAACAAAGCTGTAGTGAAAAATAAAATTAATAGCCATGATTTATTTGCATCTAGATATGCAAATACAATCAATTAAGTAAATTATAAGTAGGAATTTTTCCCTACGGAATGAGAGGTCGTTTCTCAAACTGTGTCTCCCTGGATGAAAATGATCTCCCTGCTCTAAAAATGTATTTAAAATTGTATGGAGGTACTAAGACACAAATTATGCTCGAAGACTAAATTAGTAGTTGTCTTCTTTCCCTATTTGAGACACAGATTTCTCCTGTCTATGTTTTTCTTTTCTCTACACACATTTTTCTTTGCACATTTGTTGAGACCTCAGTGCCAAATACATTAAAGAATATCAATCTGTAGCCAATCAGAAGTTCAAACTTCTATCATCTTTATGCGTTTGAATAAATATTTCATGGAATATGGGGGAATAAAAATAAAATTGGAAGGGTGTGGTTAGGCATAACAATAAAAAAACTAAAGTTGTATAAAATTTCTACCCCCTATGAGGTATGAAGCATATAAGGTATAAAGTAAGAACAGTATAGAATCTGGGGATGCTGGTATACTCAGCAAAGATTAATGGATGTTATTCATTGTTTGACTTTACAATTTAAAAACAAAGCAGTGAATCTGTGCAGTCATCATTACAGTTTTCTTAGAAAACTCTCGCTGAACAGTTAGTCCCTCGTAAAAAAAAATCCTACCTCTTCTACTTGGTTGGTGCCTGCAAATGGTATAGAATCATAGAAGCATAGAATTGTCTAGGTTGGAAGTGACCTTTAAGATCATTGATTCCAACCATCAACCTAAAACTGCCAAATCCACCACTAAACCATGTCGCCAAGCACCACGTCTACCCGTCATTTAAATATCTCCAGAGATGGCAATTCCATCACTTCCCTGGGTAACTTCTTCCAGTGCTTGATAACCCTTTCAGTGTAAAAATTTGTTCCAGTATCCTGTCTAAACCTCCCCTGGCGCAACTTGGGGCTGTTTCCTCTTGTCCTTTCACCTGTTCCTTGGGAAAAAAGACTGCCCCCACCTCAGTACACCCTCCTTTCAGGGAGTTGTAGAGAGTGATAAGGTCCCCCCTCAGCCTCCTTTTCTCCAGGCTGAACACCCCCAGCTCCCTCAGCCTCTCCTCATGAGACTTGTTCTCCAGACCCCTCACCAGCTTCATTGCCCTTCTCTGGACCCGCTCCAGCACCTCAGTGTCTTTTTTGTGGTGAGGGGCCCAAAACTGGACACAGCCCTCGAGGGGAGGCCTCACCAGTGCCGAGTACAGGGGGACGATCACTTCCCTCGTCCTACTGGCCACGCTGTTCCTGATACAGGCCAGGATGCTGTTGGCCTCCTTGGCCACCTGGGCACACTGCTGGCTCATGTTCAGATGGCTGTTGAT